GATTGTTTGATCTTTACAATCATTCCTGTCAAACCGTGAATTGAAGGTCGTTCTCAACGGATTCTCCTCCAGTTCCTATCCCACGAAAATAGGTGTTCCCCAAGGCTCCATCCTTGGCCCCACTCTATTTGAATTTTTTTATTTTCATCAACGACCTTCCTGACGCCATAGATTCCCAAGTTGGCATCTACGCGGATGACACTACAATTTATTCCTGCCTCAAAAACAAATCTAGTGTCGGTGACAAAACTAACCTGGCCGTGCGTCTTGAAATGGACCTCCAATCGGTTGTTAATTGGGGCATGAATTGATTGGTCAACTTTAACGTCTCAAAAACTAAACTACTCTCCATTAATCACCATAGAGATCCTTCCCTGCCCCCCATTAGAATGTCTGATAGTCAACTTCTTGAGAGCAACTCCCTGCGTCTGCTCGGTCTCACGTTGACTGCTGACCTGAGATGGAACAAATACATTGAGTCAATTGCTTCGTCCACCGCGAGGAAAGTTGGCTCTCTGTGCCGCGCCAGGAAATTTTTCTCCCCGGAATCGATACTTCAAATATACAAATCAACCATTCGCCCTTGCATGGAGTATTGCTGCCATATATGGTCTGGGGCACCTTCTGTTTACCTCGGAGTTCTTGACAAGATCCAGAGACGGATATGTAATATAATTGGCCCTGATCTGGCGTCTCGTCTACAGTCACTCTCTCACAGACGCGCCGTCGCCTCTCTCTGTCTTTTCTACAAATACTTTCATGGTAATTGCTCCGATGAGCTGCTTTCACTGGTCCCCAGACTCCATGAATTCAAGCGCCCTACGAGGCTGGCATCCCGCTCCCACCCTTACACTGTAGAAGCTTTTAAATGTTGGCGTCTCTTCTACTCCAATAGCTTCATGTCTCACACCTCTCGCCTGTAGAACACCCTTCCCAATTACTGTTTCCCTGAGAGCTATAATCTCCAACTATTCAAATGTAATGTCAATCGACATCTCCAGTTAACTTGATCTATCCATTATTCCTCTCCTCATCCTTTCTTCTATCACTCCTATCTGCTCTTGCTCCAAATCTTCTGCAACCCCCTGCATCCTAGTGGCTTCACGCCTTGCTCGGGGCGTAAATTAAAAAAAAAATATATATATATATATATATATATATATATTATATATAATATATATTATATAATATATATGTTATATATAAAATATATTATATATAACATATATATTATATATATATAATATATCTATTTTATAATATATGTATTTATATAATATATATGTATATATATTATTATATATAATATATATACATTTGCATAATATAATATATATTATGTATAATATGTATATTTATAATATATATATATATATATATATATATATATATATATATATATATATATATAAATTAATTGTTACGTTTAAATTTTACTTATATGGACTATAATGGGCATGTCCCAATCCTCATAAATACAGTGGAATATACTGTCTGGCGGGTGGGTATTCACCACTAGTACTGGCGAATCTTGTTAATGTTATAAAGATTACCGTTCCATTTCCAACCTTCGTTTTGGTTATTCTCATTCAGTATTCTAGGTTACAGCATTTTGGCGACGAAGATTTTGCGGAACTCAAGTAAACGTTCATCAGTACAAAGTTTGGCGAACAAAGATTTCGACTGAACACGTTCACAAATATCGGCAAAACTCACGTAATAATTACCAAAGCTACAAAGCATTTTTGGCTTCACGGATTTTCTAAGAATTACGTGGATTTTTACCAGGTCGTTCGAAATAAAACATTCAGAAAAACACGGGATTTTGTTCCAACTACACAAACGTAAAGAAAGGTATGTGAAATTGAAGTTTACATAAATCATGTATTGTTGAGAGGGTTTCTCGGTGTAAAGGTGTTATGTTGAAATTTAATTGGTAGGTATACTTAAAGTGTTTTTAGAAACAGTTGTTTAAAAAAAACAGTATATTTTTGTGGAAGGTTAGTTCACATAACGTATAAAATGGTTTTACTGGAAATATTCAGACAAGACGAACAACAGAGACATTTTCCGAACAAAGACTTTAAAAACTCGTAGAATTGTGGGTAGAGCAACAACAGAAAATGTTAACGAGTAACAAGAACGAAAATTCAGAGGATGATATTGTAAATGCAATTGCTGAATTTCATTATATGCCAGAATGCTCGCTCGTCAACTATCTACGGCCGCTACGGCGCCTAGCCCAATAAATGGGAGGAGTGACCAAAAGCGTTCCTAACATTCCGCGGCAAATCGAGTTCTCATCTAAACGCGGCGTAGGAAAGCCAACCTCGAGGCGTGGCGATGACTCGCCAGATGTGGCAATCCCAGCCCCCCATGACACGGATGCTGGTAACAGGCTCCTTTACAGACCCAATGTTTGCGACTCCACCACAAGAAGGAAGTCAACAAACGCTTGATCGCCTACCAACGGGTTCTGCAAAGAGGATGTACAGTCAAGCAGTAGAGGATAAGAGGCAAGACATGTGACACTCGCCTCAGCTGTACCTTTTAAGGACAACCTCCTTCGGAGCCAAGTCCAGACCGACGCTCCAACCTTTGCCTGTACCTTCGACTAATTCCTCTCTATCCGAAGTCCGAGCCCGAACCACACTCTAAGAAGGCGGACGGGTCCATCAGTCCACCTAAAGGGCCCCGGTAGCGCGACCCCCTTCCAGGCGCCTAACCGCAAGCCAGAAGACTTGTCACGATTGATCTTGGCCCTGGTCACCTTCTCGTACTGTTCAAGCGCCTTCTGCACCACATTAATATTGCTGCAGCACGACACGAAAATGTATACGTCATCAGCGTACATAGAAACCCTGGCTCGATCTCAACCAGGAGGTGTGGAACAACGATTTCGCGTAGGGATTGCACGCCCTGTACCTCAGCCGGTATCCCCGAATTATCAGTTTGAAAAAAAAGCAATAAAGGGAGATTGCGGGCGATCATTTGTATGTTTACCGACCAAGACAAAAGCGCCTGATTGCCTCCCGTTCACCTATACCACAGCACTTTTGAGTGATACAGGAGACTAATTTTAAAAAAAGAAGTCGGGTTCGAAAATGGCGGCCTGCTGGACAGTTTTAGGTATTGATGGTCTACCCTGTATAATGCCTTAGGACTGATTTAAATTGATCAGCGTGGCTATTTTCGTCTTTTATTCCCTCTATGATCGTGCGGATCAAATGCAGGTTGCTTTGAATTGTTTGTCTCCTCACAGCATAAGTCTGCTCGGGTCCCAACAAGCTCGCGACAACTGACTGCAAATGCTCCGTCAGGATCTTTGCCAAAATCTTTAACTCTATGTTTACCAGAGTTATGTGCCTATAATAATCTAAATCCCGCCGAACGCTCTTGCCCTTTTTCAACAGCGTGATCACACCCCTGGAAATCCGGTCGGGGATGGACCCCTGCCGGAACAAGTTGTTGAACACCAATGTCAAAATCGGAACAAAGATGTGCAACAGCCTCAAGTAGGGCAGACCATCAAGTTACGGGGACTTGCCACTGCCAACCCTCTTCAATGCAAATAAACTTCGCCCTCTGTGATCTCACCATCGCAGCTAGCCGCTTCAGTCAGCGAAAGCTGAGGAAAGTCAGCCAAATAGCTGCGAAACTCGTCGCCACTGATATCAGGATCCTTGGTAAAACGTCTCTCGAAATGCCGCCGAAACGCCTCGCACATATCTTTGGCCGACCGAAGAGTACGCCCCTCCGGGATAATGACCTCACGAATGTATCGATCGGAACCTCGACGGATCGTTTCCTTGCGCAATTCTGCGCCCATTTTCACGGCTTCGTTAGACATCTTGTCTAACCTATGTAACTACCTGATTTTGGTTATAAATAAGTTACTATAATTCAGGGCCTCCCTAGCTACGGCTATCTCTAATCTTGGGAGGTGGTATAACATCCCTGTAACATATCGTCACCGCGGTGTTGAAATCCAGCGACAAGCGGAGACGGATCTGCTAAGCATAGACCAATGCGGGCTTTCTGGGAAATTTAAATTCTGGTGTATGCATTTTGCTTTGATGCCGGGACTAACTATATATGTGGTGGCACTGTCTCGAGTTAAGATAATTGAGAGGAAAATCAGTAAATACATACGGAAGTGGCTTGGTGTTGCGAGGATTATGTCGTCGGTCACTTTGTATGGCAGCTCGCGGCAGGGACTTCAGTTGCCTGTTACAAGGTGGCAAGGTGAGATTACAGTCCATACGGAAACCTGTACCATATGTTGTCATCCTGTCCGAAGGCACTACAGAATAGCTGGTACTCTTTTAGACATAACTTGGTCGTGGTGGTTGTGGTAGCAGCTACGAGAAGTGCTAATATACCCTCGTCGGATCTTCGAAGGATTGTCTTCCTGAAGCAAGGTGTGACTGGCAAGATGCAGAAGACCTGGTCGGAGGGTAGTTGTAGTGTTGGTTATTGCTATACTGCCAGGGGGGGTTATTGTGTTTAGACCGAGGCCAAATCTAGTGTTGATTGATAGCGAGAAGAAACGTCTGTTGCTTGAGCTGAATGTAGCACGGGGAGGAAGGTTTTGATTAGGCTCAAAAAAAATATAATGCTTCTCCATGAGGAACTGGTGGCTGAGGATCGTGAAAAGGGGATGACAGCAATGTTAGTACCGTTTGAGGTTCAAAACATTTTTTTTTTTGCTGCTTCCTCAATATATATATATATATATATATATATATATATATATATATATAGATAAAAATCCGTGGGTAAGTAATCCAAGTAGATCCTATTAATCTAAAATATTAAAACTGATCCACAAAAGAGAGCTCAATATAATTTTTATTATAGAGCATATAAATGAATTACAATTAATGAGATCCAAACAATTTACCTCATACAGATGATCATTTCGTCCATGGGAATGTAGTTTTTCCCTGGATTTATCAATGCAAATACATTTACTAAAATGAATAAAATCCCACGTTTCTTCATAGGAAATGTGAAAGGCAAAGGAAGAAAAGAAGGAAAAAAAGAAAAAGGAAAGAATAAAAGGAGAGGGAGTAAGAATTGACCTATAATAGAGGAGGGAATTATATAGATATAGAGGGGTAAGGGACCTAAAGTGGTTGTTGTGGAGTCGGGTACAGATAAACGCGACGGTTGAAAATGGATATCAGTGTCCATTAAGTATATTTCATTTTGATCAAAGAGGATCCGCGAGAGGAATCCCCCCCCCTAATCATTGATTTTTTTTTCCCTTTGATATAAATTAAATTTATATTTGAACAAGGGAATGACTCCTAGGGTATTTGGATAAGCATATTTCATTTCGATGAAATACGGTCCCAGCGTGGTGGGCACAAAACCCCCACTGAAAATGTTTTCCCTTTGATTTAAATTAAATTTAAATCTGAACCAGGGAATGGCTCCTATCCAAAATATAGAAGGAGAAAGCCAGAAGATGGAGGTCACATTGGCAAGATCATTGAGTAATATTAAAATGCATCATTTTTCTCCACAAATTATAACAATAATTTAAAATCAATCATTTTCTTACAACAAATATGTGACACGCAGCAAGCTGTATGTAATTTGGCTAGTATATATATATATATATATATATATATATATATATATATATATATATATATATATATAGCCGAATTACAGTTGGCCGTGTTTGATTACGTCTAGCATGAAACAGCCTGTCACTTCTGAGTGTTGACTTCAATGTCCACTTTATATATATATATATATATATATATATATATATATAATCAAGTATGTGGTGCAGTTCAATTTACATTACATGAATCATTCATACAAAAAACAGATATAGAAGTTAATGATATAAATGACGAGAATACATCTTCGCAAACAAATTTAATAAATTACATTAACCCCGAACATGCAGATGAATGAAGATTCATCAAGAATCTGTGTCACTAAGCGGACAATAAGCAATAAAATTCATAGGAACAATCTAAAGTCACGATCCCCTCGGAAAGCTCTACTGCTATTGAGAAGATACATAGATTGCAGGATGAAATTCGTTCGTGAACGTAAGGATAAGAAAAAAATTATATTGGAAAAGAGTATTATGGAAAGACGAAACCAAAATTGAGTTGTTTAGACGTAATTCTAAAAATTATGTATGGAGGAAAGATGGTGATGTCTTTAAACAAAAGAACAGAGTTCCAACAGTGGAATTTGGTGATGGCAGCATCATTTCAGTGTAGATGTTTTTCTGCAAAAGTTACTGGCAACATATCAGAAATAGATGGTAGAATGAATATCAAAATATTTTGGAAGCAAATTTAATGATTTCGGTTGAAAATCTTGAACTTCCTCCAGATTGGATCTTCCAAGATAATGATCCTAAGCACACTGCAAAATCTACAAAGAAATGGCTTGCTGAAAATAATGTAAATATCCTGAACTGGCCAAGTCAATCCCCAAATTTAAACCGAATCGAGAATCTGTGGCGTTATTTGAAAATTCAAATCCAATCGTGAGCTTCAACAAACATCCCGGATCTGAAGACCATATTTGAAGAAGAATGGAGCAAAATACCAGCTAAAATTTGCAAGTGATTGAGAAGAAGTTGATTGCTGTAGAAATGAATAATGGCTATTCTACAAAGTATTAAATGAAGTTTATGTATTCTTTTTTGTATTGTACGAATAATTTTTTCATCCCTTAAAATGGATAAGTGGTATTTATTTCTATTAAATCAATTTTTTCTGTTTACTACGCATATTTAGTTATTATTCATCTGTGTTAAGTTAATTATATGAAAAGTATGTTTATTCATTAGTTGGAAATACAATAAATTAAAAAATCTGTATGTGTACGAATATTTGCTTCCCACCACTGTATATATTATAAATAAAGATCAATGTTTATGTGCATGTTTGTGTCTGTCTTATTCTATGGGAAGAAAAATTATGTCTGTGTCTGTCTGTACATCTATAGGAAAAAAAAAATACTTTATCGATCTTCATTAAATTCGGAACATTGCTAGTAGACATAAAAGAGGGTGCAATATACTATGTTTCATTTATTTTTTAGGGTAGAAAAGGGGGCAGACCCCCACCTCGAAAATAAATGTACCAATGAATTAAAAAACTACTGGACATTTTTTATGAAATTTGGAACTTAGATTTCCGGCATCGGTGGATGTAATATGCTGTGTATAAGTATATATTATTTTGAATAAAGGATTTCCGGTGCGGGGGTGCACAAAACTCCTCAATTTTTTTCCCTTCGATTTTAATTAATTTTAAACTTAAATTTTAAACAACCATTCAATCATATTAAATTTGAAAGAGATTCTATGTATGACATCTGATGACATAGACTATATATATATATATATATATATATATAACTTATTTTTAAAAAGTGGGGTTCCAGGTGTGCACAAATACCCGCCTCAAAAATTTGCTTCTATGTATTTAAATGAAATCTTTTTACATTCATTTAATTTTTGCATCCAAACATTTGATTGAGACTGCAAATTTAAATTCCTATAACCTACACAACAGCTACTGTTTCAATCTTATATAATGATCTAATTAATATGGATCCTAGTGTAGTTTTTCCATAAATTTTGTCTCTTTTTGACTAAGGAGGCATCACTTGAAACTATACAATAACTACAACTTCATTAATATGCAAGTTTACAATTTATTTGAACTCTTGATAAAGTCATTTATTCTATAAACAGCTCTATATCTTTCAGATGTCTGTTCTGCCAGCTGACTATTGAAATAATAATTAGGCTAAACCCTTAGTACAATGCCTCACCAAAAGTTCCGATTTGAACCCCCTAAGCAATCCCAGCGGAGGAAAAGAGAAAGAGCAGAAGAAACTGAAGGTCAGCTGAGCAAGATAAGGAGAGAAGTCGCAGAAAGGCATGCAGCTACATGAGCGTCACAAAGTCAAGAACAAGTGGATCTAAGATGAAGATTAGATGCTGACAGAAGACGTACAGTAGATGCTCAACGTGCTGCAGCAGCAATACAGTATGAAAATCAAGAAGAAGCTGACAGTAGACGTACAGTAGATGCTCAACGGGCTGCAGCAGCAATACAGTATGAAAATCAAGAAGAAGCTGACAGGAGACGTACAGTAGATGCTCAACGGGCTGCAGCAGCCAGACAGTATGAAAATCAAGAAGAAGCTGACAGGAGACGTACAGTAGATGCTCAACGGGCTGCAGCAGCAATACAGTATGAAAATCAAGAAGAAGCTGACAGGAGACGTACAGTCTATGCTTAACGGGATGCAGCAGCAATACAGTATGAAAATCAAGAAGAAACTGACAGGAGACCTACAGTAGATGCTCAACGAGCTGCAGCAGCCAGACAGTCTGAAAATCAAGAAGAAGTTGGTAGAAGACGTACATTAAATGCTCAACGGACAGCAGCTGTCAGACAAGCTGAAACTCCAGAAGTAAAGGAGAGGAGACTAAGAATGAATACTTGACGAAATGCAGCAACCAGGCAACTGGATATATTATACTGAAAATAAATATTACTATAATGATATATTTTTATTATTATTGATGTTTGTTGTCATGCATAAATAAATATTGTAATATGCATATGTTTATAGTTTTCCTCAATCTTTTATTTAATTATATATGTAATGATTGATTCATTTATAGACCAAAACATAGAGACACAGACCAGAATTATGCTATTGGCCTGGAGGAAGCACCTCTTTGTTCTACATGAAAACTTGCAATCCTTTCAATTGCGTTACATGGGTGGATATAGCTGTATAATCTACATGAATATTAACTGATGTCGGAAGATCTTGTCCATTATTCGCTAAAATGTACTTGATGCATTCCGTACTCCGAATGACATGTAATTGTACTCGAGCAAGCCAAACGGTGTTGTAATGTATGTTTTACGGACATCGTTTGGGTGGACAGGCACTTAATGATAAGCTGATGTTAAATCAATTTTAGAAAATATTTTTTTACCACGCATCTTAGATGTAGAGTTCTAGACCTACACTAAGTCATGTGCAATGCCATCATCCTGTGGCCTGTTAGGAAAGCGTCAAAATGAATGCGAATAAAAGTCAGGAGAAGCTGAAATCAGCAGCTCTATGCAAATTTCTTATTTCGTAAGAATTTTATATGTAAGAAACAAGTTACTGATTCTTATTACAGAATAAAATCTCATTTCAAAAGTAAATTAAATACTGATGTTATTTTGCCGCAACCATTTATACATCCTAATGTTTTTATTTTGTTTACCATCTTTGGAAATGAGTATCTGCATAACCGTTGCTTGACAGAAACGTACTGTTTACTTTATACTATGTAGTTTATCTGATTAGTTCGGAATTCTTCAATGAAATAATGAAGTCTCGTTCCAGATAAAGTATTTTATTTATTTGAATAGTCATTGTACTATGTAGAATTAGATTTCTATATTCTCTGTTTTAAACCTGTATAATCATGGTGCTTCTAGTCACTGGTATGTAATCTAATCAGCAAAACAAGATAACCAAAAACCTCACTTATAAAAAGAATAGGTTTTATTTTACGTTAAGCAAATACAACAATATATGCATGTCCTTCCCTAACGTGGAGATAATGACTGACAGACTTATCCAAATGGTACAATACAGGAAAACTGGTTTCTCAGAGATCAGGTCTCATGACTGCTGTCACAGATCGAGTCTGGACTGGAAACACCACACGTGTTTCGTTCAGCGAGGCCTGCTGAAAGAGGGAGCTTCTCCACGTGCTACACTTTTTGTATGGGCGGCCCGTGGCAGGATCGACCAATGGCAGACCGTCCCGTCGTCACGTGATCTATCTCTCCACGCATAGGTATAGACAAAGCTTTTTACTGTCCCAACACCTTTTAAAATAGGATCACACCTAAGTATTCTCAGTTTGTGATGAACCCATTAAAATTGGCTCCAGTGTTCAGTACGAAACAATGCTTTCTGATTGGTCCATAAATAATATTGTCACCTTTCTGCCTACGTCCGCACTGTTGACCTCGAGTTGACCTGTTCATAACACGTCAAAAAAAATCTAAACATGTTCTCGAGCCTCCACGTGACCAAGAAAACTCATAAATATGAAACTTCGACGCGACTTAGTGATTCCTTAAAATAATCTCGTCACACAAATCCATGAAACCCAACTTCCTCGCTAAAAGTTAATTTTTATTAACATCAACCAGGCTTGTGGAATTCAATTTCTTTTCAACATCAATTCATCTAGTGACCAATTCAACCAAGACGAGATTCATAAGCCAACTCAGTCAATATCTTAACAACATAAAGGAAATCGTAACTATATCAATCGAAGCAATACAGTAAATCAAGCAATCTATTTCATTCAATTTCACCATCAACATAAACTGTTTAATTCCTTAATATAGCATAACACCTTTTATATTACCATTGATCACACAGCCAAAAACTCTAAAGTGTTTTAAACAAATTTATATCGTGTGTACTTGTTATATGAAAAATATTTTCTGTTTAAACAAATATCTACCTATTTGATTATTTCTCTTGTTGTTGTTGTCGTATTTGTTACATTTGATTTAGTAAAGGGTCAGTTTAATTTGTATTTGTCACCGATACTGATGGGCTAACCCACTACAACTACGATCTCCCAGAGGGTTTATTCATAGCATGGCAAGTTTTTAGTGGGAAGTCTTTATTTTTCGTTCTATTTTTCGTTCTTATTGCAGCATTACTTCTTAAAGTGCTCGTCTTGCTGACACGAAACTGATGAAGGGTTTTTATTGCAGTGCCGATAAGGATGCCGCCCTCGCAAGTCTTTGTGGTTTTGAAGAAAGGTTTGAAAAGCCTAGACAATGACGGGACAAAGGTGGGGGTTTATATTTTAAACAAACGTCTATTTTTACTTAAAAATGACCGGTTTGGTCAGGAGAGCTGATCGGTTGCCGGGCAGAAGTGTTATCGGAGGCGGTAGCTAGTTGATTGACGGGTGTGGTGTTATTAACGACGGGAGCCGGTCGTTTGTCGAGTTGAAGAGTTGTCGGCGGCGGTAGCTGGTCGATTGCCGGGTCGAGGTGTTAACGACACGATTAGCGCAAGACCCTAAACAGGGCCGAATCAGTGAGATGATGCGTCCTCCAGAACGGATCGGCCGCGGAAGCGGGATCACGACGAAAGTTATCTCTCGACGAAGCTGGAGTCCCTAAACTGGGCCGCGACAGTGAGATAATACATGTCTTCCAAGGCGGATGAACCAAGAAAGCGGGATTGCACCAAAGGTAATCTCTCGACGAAGCTGGAGTCCCTAAACAGGGCCGTGACAATGAGATGATATATGTCTTCCAAGGCGGATCAACCGCGAAAGCGTGATTGCACCAAAGGGTATCTCAGGGCGACGAAGCTTGAGTCCCTAAACAGAGCCGTGACAGTGAGATGATATATGTCTTCCAGGGCGGATCAACCGCGAAAGCGGGATTGCGCCAAAGGGTATCCCTCGACGAGAAGCTGGAGACTCCAGGGCGGATAAACAGGGCCGTGACAATGAGATGAAATATGTCTTTCAAGGCGGATCAACCACGAATGCGGAATCGCGCCGGGTATAGCACTCGAAGAAGCTAGAGTCACTAAACAGGGCCATGACAGTGAGATGATATATGATCTTCCGAAGGCGGATAAGGCGAAGCGAAACAGGGCCGAGGATTGCGCCAAGGGGTATCCTCGACGAAGCCTTGAGTCCCTAAACAGGGCCGTGACAGTGAGATGATATATGACTTCAGGGGCGGATCTTCCACGTAGGCCGGATCGCGCCGAGGTGGATCAACCGAATAATGATACTTTCGCGTAAGCGGGATTGCACCAAAGGTATCTCGACGAGGGCTGGAGACTCTAAACGGAGGGCCGGGACTGAAGAAGATGATATATGTCTTCCAGGGCGGATCAACCACGAATGCCGGGATTGCGCGAAGAAGGGTATCTCTTCCAGGGCGGATGAACCACGTAGGCCGGAGGTGAAGCTGAAGAAAAGTCCCTAAACAGGGCCGGCGAATAATGACAGGGCGGATCAATAGGCTGGATCGCGCCGAGGTTCCTTGAAGAAGGCGGATCCCTAAACAGGGCCGAGTCAGAATAAAAGCAGGGCGGATCAATCGCGCACCAAAGGTTATCTGAAGAAGGCGAAGTCGACAGAGCTGATAGTCCCTAAACAGAGCCGTGACGAGTGAGATGAATATATGTCTTCCAGGGCGAATCAACCACGAAAGCGGGATCGCGCCAAAAGGCATCTGAAGAAGGCGAAGTCCCTAAACAGGGGAGTCAGAATAATGAAAGACGGGCGGATCAACCAGTGTAGGCCGGATGAGGTACATGTCTTGAAGAAGGCGGATCCCTAAACAGGGCCGAGTCAGAATAATGAAAGGGCGGATTGGATCGCGCCGAGGTGTATCTCTCGAAGAAGTTGGAAGACCCTAAAAGGGCCGTGACAGTGAGATAATAGATGTCATCCAGGGCGGATGAACCGCGGAAAAGCGGGATTGCGCCAAAAGATGATCTTCCAGGGCGGATTGACGGATCGCGCCGAGCTGCACTTGAAGAAGTCCCTAAACAGGGCCGAGACAATGAGATAATGATATGTTTTCCAGGGCGGAACAACCACGAAGGCCGGATCGCGCCAAAGGGTATCTCTCGACGAAGACTTTCAGGGCTGGAGTCTCTGAACAGAGCCGTGACAGTGAGATGATATATGTCTTCAGGGGCGGATCAACCACGTAGGCCGGATCGCGGATCAAGCACTTGAAGAAGGCGAATTAAACAGGGCCTCAGAAAAGGTTATTTCTCGAGGGCGGAGCTGAGAGTCCCTTGAAACAGAAGTCCCTAAACGGGCCGAGTCAGAAATGATATATGTCTTCCAGGGCGGATAAACGTAGGCCGGATCGCGCCGAGCACTTGAAGAATTGTCGCCTAAACAGGGCCGAGTCAGAATAATGATACGACTTCAGGGCGGATCAACCACGGAGGCTAGAGTCACTAAAGTCCCTAAACAGGGGGTCAGAATAATGATACGACTTCCAGGGCGGATCAACCACGTAGGCCGGATCGCGCCGAGGTGTAGCACTTGAAGAAGGCGAAGTCCCTAAACAGGGCCGAGTCAGAATAATGATACGCCAGGGCGGATGAACCACGTAGGCCGGATCGCGACGAAGCTTAGCAGTTGAAGAAGGCGAAGTCCCTAAACAGGGCCGAGTGAGATAATGATATGACTTCCAGGGCGGATCAACCACGAAGGCTGGATCGCGCCGAGGTGTAGCACTTGAAGAAGGCGAAGTCCCTAAACAGGGCCGAGTCAGAATAATGATACGACTTCAGGGCGGATCAAAAGGCCGGATCGCGCCGAGGTGTAGCACTTGAAGAAGGCGAAGTCCCTAAACAGGGCCGAGTCAGAATAATGATACGACTTCAGGGGGCGGATCAACCACGTATGCGGATCGCGCCGAGGTGTATCTCGCGAAGAAGGCGAAGTCCCTAAACAGGGCCGAGTCAGAATAATGATACGACTTCCAGGGCGGATCAACCACGAGGCCGGATCGCGCCGATGAAGAAGGCGAAGTCCCCAAACAGGGCCGAGTCAGAATAATGATACGACTCTCAGGGCGGATCAACGGAGCTGGATCGCGCCGAGGTGTAGCCCTTGAAGAAGGCGAAGTCCGTAAACAGGGCCGAGTCAGAATAATGATACGACTTCCAGGGCGGATCAACCACGAAGGCCGGATCGCGCCGAGGTGTAGCACTTGAAGAAGGCGAAGTCCCTAAACAGGGCCGAGTCAGAATAATGATACGACTTTCAGGGCGGATCAACCACGGAGGCGGGATCGCGCCGAGGTGTAGCACTTGAAGAAGGCGAAGTCCCTAAACAGGGCCGAGTCAGAATAATGATACGACTTCAGGGCGGATGAACCACGACGGGCTGGATCGCGCCGAGGTGTAGCACTTGAAGAAGGCGAAGTCCCTAAACAGGGCCGAGTCAGAATAATGATACGACTTCCAGGGCGGATGAACCACGTAGGCCGGATCGCGCCGAGGTGTAGCACTTGAAGAAGGCGAAGTCCCTAAACAGGGCCGAGTCAGAATAATGATACGACTTCAGGGCGGATCAACCACGTAGGCTGGATCGCGCCGAGGTGTAGCACTTGAAGAAGGCGAAGTCCCTAAACAGGGCCGAGTCAGAATAATGATACGACTTCCAGGGCGGTAGGCCGGATCGCGCCGAGGTGTAGCACTTGAAGAAGAAGTCCTAAACAGGGCCGAGTCAGAATAATGATACGACTTCCAGGGCGGATGAACGGAGGCCGGATCGCGCCGAGGTGTAGCACTTGAAGAAGGCGAAGTCCCTAAACAGGGCCGAGTCAGAATAATGGACTTCCAGGGCGGATCAATCACGTAGGCTGGATCGCGCCGAGGTGAAGCACTTGAAGAAGGCGAAGTCCCTAAACAGGGCCGAGTCAGAATAATGATACGAGGGCGGATCAACCACAGGGATCGGATAGCACTTGAAGAAGGCGAAGTCCCTAAACAGGGCCGAGTCAGAATAATGGATCAGGGCGCCGAGGTGTAGCACTTGAAGAAGGCGAAGTCCCCTAAACAGGGCCGAGTCAGAATAATGATACGACTTCCAGGGCGGATCAACCACGTAGGCTGGATCGCGCCGAGGTGTAGCACTTGAAGAAGGCGAAGTCCGTAAACAGGGCCGAGTCAGAATAATGATACGACTTCCAGGGCGGATCATCCACGCAGGCCGGATCGCGCCGAGGTGTAGCACTTGAAGAAGGCGAAGTCCCTAAACAGGGCCGAGTCAGAATAATGATACGACTTCCAGGGCGGAGAGGCTGGATCGCGCCGAGGTGTAGCACTTGATCAGAATAATGATACGACTTCCAGGGCGGATCAACCACGTAGGCCGGATCGCGCCGAGGTGTAGCACTTGAAGAAGGCGAAGTCCCTAAACAGGGCCGAGTCAGATTCAGGGCGGATCAACCACGTAGGCTGGATCGCGCCGAGGTGTAGCACTTGAAGAAGGCGAAGTCCCTAAACAGGGCCGAGTCAGAATAATGATACGACTTCCAGGGCGGATCTAAACGGAGGGATCGTGCCGAAGTGTAGATGAAGAAGGCGAAGTCCCTAAACAGGGCCGAGTCAGAATAATGGACTTCCAGGGCGGATCAACCACGTAGGCCGGATCGCGCCGAGGTGTAGCACTTGAAGAAGGCGAAGTCCCTAAAACAGGGCCGAGTCAGAATAATGATACGACTTCCAGGGCGGATCAAAAGGCTGGATCGCGCCGAGGAAGCACTTGAAGAAGGCGAAGTCCCTAAACAGGGCCGAGGTGAGCACTTGTGAATAAACATCAGAATAATGATACGACTTCCAGGGCGGATCAACCACGAAGGCTGGATCGCGCCGAGGTGTAGCACTTGAAGAAGGCGAAGTCCCTAAACAGGGCCGAGTCAGAATAATGATACGACTTTCAGGGCGGATCAAACCAAGGCCGGATCGCGCCGAGGTGTAGCACTTGAAGAAGGCGAAGTCCCTAAACAGGGCCGAGTCAGAATAATGATACGACTTCCAGGGCGGATGAACCACGTAGGCCGGATCGCGCCGGCGGATCGAGTCAGAATAATGATACCAGGGCGGATGAACCACGTAGGCTGGAACTTGAAGAAGGCGAAGTCCCTAAACAGGGCCGAGTCAGAATAATGATACGACTTCCAGGGCGGATCAACCACGTAGGCTGGATCGCGCCGAGGTGTAGCACTTGAAGAAGGCGAAGTCCCTAAACAGGGCCGAGTCAGAATAATGATACGACTTCCAGGGCGGATCAACCACGGTAGGCCGGATCGCGCCGAGGTGTAGCACTTGAAGAAGGCGAAGTCCTAAACAGGGCCGAGTCAGAATAATGATACGACTTCCAGGGCGGATCAACCACGTAAACGGGATCGCGCCGAGGTGTAGCACTTGAAGAAGGCGAAGTCCCTAAACAGGGCCGAGTCAGAATAATGATACGACTTCCAGGGCGGATCAACCACGGAGGCTGGATCGCGCCGAGGTTAGCA